TCTCAATGTATGTCAAATAGCAAAAACAATGACTTGTCAACTACTTAATGGAATAGATGAGTAAATGAGTAATAATGAGCCCTTGGAGTGTGGGGAGAGATATTACTGCCCAGCAAGGAGTTGGCCAGAGTTCTTTTAAGAGCAGGGTTTAATTATGGAATAACATTTTTAGGGTGCAAATCAATATTTTCAATAACTTTTTTTTTTGCCAAGTGCACACCATGCTTCTCTTTGTCTCATATAATTTCTTTTTTCCATTCAAAGAGTAGATTGTGTCATAGAACTCATTTGTATTAAGATGTTTATTGAGATAACTATATGACAGCATTTAATTTTCAGAAAACTAAGAAAATCATGTATTTAAGAAAGGTATGAGAACAAGATACCTGTTAGGGTGGTTGGTGACATGGGCTGTGAAAGAATTCACAAAGAGAAGAAAGTGCACAGAGTGAAGGTTTTAGTTTTACTTTCCCAAGAGAGGGAAAGTGCTATGTGTGAGATGGATACCAGCACCAGCACTGAGGGGTTTACAACAATGAGGCAAGGGGATAAGCTGTTACCTTTGATAGGATGGTGAGAGACTGATTCATTGCTGGCCATGAAGTCGATGAGGAGGAGAATGTCTACAGAGTCTGGAGAGACAGAGACATCAGAGTCCTCTCTCTGAACCTCAGAGAGACAGGCTTAGGGGGTCACCCTGAGTTGAGTTTCTGCTGCCCACTGGTCCCCTAGTCTCAAGTCTCAGGAGGCTGGAGAAGAGGGAGAAATAGAGAATGTTCCCATATGGGCCACCAAAATGTTAGGGTGGTCCACGATGTGGGCTGTGAAAGAATTCACAAACAGAAGAAAGTGCATAGAGTAAAGAGTTATTTTTACTTTCCCAAGGGAAGCAAAGGGCTAGGTGTGGAGATAGATATGTACCAGCACCAGCACTGAGGGGTGGGGACCCTGAGTTTTTCTTGGGTAATGGGGTGGTTGTAAAGCAACATGTTTCAGTTAGGCTGCAACTTGTTTCAATGTTATCTTTGGGTGCAGAGTCTGGTGGTTATTGTGGTCTGGTGTGTCCTGTTTCATGGGTTCCCAGAGCCTCTGCACCTTCAGGGACTTTCCAGTAATTTTCTAGTCCTGAGGATAAAAGGTCATAAAACAATTAGGGTGAGTTGGGCTTGGAGGTCCAGCCAGCTCTGGGAAAGGGGTCTGAGAAAGTGGCTTTTGTGCTATTAATACCTGTGTGTTAAGAGGAACGGTATCTAGGTTGATAGCACTTTTCCTCAAAGAGACACTGGACAACATTCACATAAACTCAAAATTACTGTGTGCATATATGAAGGATTTGTATTGAGGTAAAAGGAAAGAACCTTGCTTTCTGGATAACAGACATAAACAGTTGTGTCTTGCAGTTTATTAGGGAACACTGTTTTATTTTATTTTTTTATTTTTTTATTTTATGTTATTTTAAATATATTTTATGGACTATGCTATTAGAGTTGTCCCATTTATTTCTCCCCTTTATTCCCCTCCACCTTGCACACCCCCTCCCACCCACATTCCTCCCCTTTAGTTCATGACCATAGGTCATACGTATAAGTTCTTTGGCTTCTACATTTCCTATACTATTCTTAACCTCCCCCTGTCTATTTTCTACCTACCATCTATGCTACTTATTCCCTGTACCTTTCCCCCACTCCCTCCCTTCCACTTCCCCACAGAAAACCCTTCATGTAACCTCCGTTTCTGCCATTCTGTTCCTGTTCTAGTTGTTTGCTTAGTTTGTTTTTGTTTTTTTATGTTCAGTTGTTAATAGCTGTGAGTTTGTTGTCATTTTACTGTTCATAGTTTTAATCTTCTTTTTCTTAGATAAGTCCCTTTAACATTTCATGTAATAAGGGCTGGGTGATGATGAACTCCTTTAAACTGACCATATCTGGGAAGCACTTTATCTGCCCTTCTATTCTAAATGATAACTTTGCTGGATAGAGTAATCTTGGATGGAGGTTCTTGCCTTTCATGACTTGGAATACTTCTTTCCAGCCCCTTCCTGCCTGTAAGGTCTCTTTTGAGAAATCAGCTGATAATCTAATGGGCAGTCCTTTGTAGGTAACTCTCTCCTTTTCTGTTGCTGATTTTAAGATTCTCTCCTTATCTTTAATCTTGGGTAATGTGATTATGGTGTGCCTTAGTGTGTTCCTCCTTGGGTCCTACTTCTTTGGGACTCTCTGGGTTTCCTGGACTTCCTGAAAGTCTATTTACTTTGCCAAATTGGGAAATTCTCCTTCATTATTTGTTCAAATAAGTTTTCAACTTCTTGGTCTTCTTGTTCTCCTCCTGGCACCCCTATGATTCAGGTGTTGGAATATTTAAAGATGTCCTGGAGGTTACTAAGCCTCTCCTCATTTTTTTGAATTCTTTTTTTTTTTTTTAATTTTTTTAGCATCTTTTTTTTTAAAGATTTTTTATTTATTTATTTTTAGAGAGGGAAGGGAGGGAGAAAGAGAGAGAGAGAGAGAAATATCAATGTGCGGTTGCTGGGGGTCATGGCCTGTAACCCAGGCATGTGCCCTGACTGGGAATCGAACCTGACACTTTGGTTCGCAGCCCGCGCTCAATCCACTGAGCTATGCCAGCCAGGGCTGAATTCTTGTTTCTTGAATCTGCTCTGGTTGAATGTTTCTTTCTTCCTTCTGCTCCAAACTGTTGTTTTGAGCCCTGGTTTCCTTCCTATCACTTTTGGTTCCCTGCAGATTTTTCTTTATTTCACATAATGTAACTTTCATTGTTGCCTGGGTCTTTCTTATGCTATTGAAGTACCCATTGTGTTCTTGGAGCATCTTGATAACCAGTGTTTTGAACTGTGCCTCTGATAGGTGGGCTATGTCTTTATTGCTTAGTTGTGTTTTTTCTGTAGCTTTGAACTGTTCTTTCACTGGGCCTTTTTGTTTGTTTGTTTGTTTGTTTGTTTGTTTGTCTCAGTGCACCTGTTACACAGTAAGGAGCCTTAGGCATTCACCAGGGTGGGACAACACATGTGACTGTGTTGTGACGCTGTATATGGGGGAGGGGTCCATGAGGGAACAATGCCGCTTGCTCTGCTCTGTCGGCTTTCAGTCACTTTCCCCACTACCCACAAGCAAATTGTACCCTTCAGGTGCTGATTCCTGGATAGGTGGGTTTGTGTACGTTCTAGCACCCTGTGGGTCTCTCCAACAAACTCTCTTGAAAGTCTGGGAGTTTCTCCCACCTCCTTAACCCCCACAGGTGTTTTCAGTCAGAGGCTTTCAGGCTTTATTTCCCTGTGCAGGAACCTGGGGTTGTGAGGTCTGTTTTGCTCCCCTGTTGTTCCTCCTGGTTTATCTGCATGCGAATGTGGGACCACCTGGTCCATAAGACACCACCTCAGCTGGCCACCAGCCACCACCTTGCCATGAGACCTCTCCACCAGGCTTCCTGTCTCCACCCCTCCTACTGGTCTGGATGAATGTTTCTTCTTTAACTCTTTGGTTGTCAGACTTCCATACAGTTCAATTTTCTGTCAGTTCTGGATGTTTCTTTGTTTTTAAATTTGTTGTTGTCCTTCTTTTGGTTTTTGAAGAGGTACAGTGTGTCTGCCTCTGCCTCCATCTTAGCCAGAAGTTTTAGGGAACATTTTAAAACACACAAAAACTAGATAATCAACTGTGTATTCCTGTATAAAAAGGCTATGTTTTTGACATAATTTTATTTCTGAAAAGCACTTAAAATGGCGACTTGCATAACTCTAACTCTCAATAATTAATTATGAAAGGAATGAATAACATACATTACTGATGAAGGCTGAAAATCCTTATTCTTTTTTTGGGGGGGAAACAAGTTAAACAGTTCATTGCAGTCATTTGATGTATGGCTGAACATTTTTTCCTTGTTAATGCTAATAGTGACTTTTTATTGAACACCAATAATGTAAGTTAGAGTTTTTGTATGCATCTTCCCAACATTCAGAATAAGGGTTTGGAATTGTACTTCCCATGTGTAGATGGGGAAACTGAGGCCCTCAGAGGTTAAATGCCTTGTGCAAAAGTGGTAGAATCTGGGTTTGAATTCAGGCCATCCTGATCCAAACATGAACTTCTATATGCCACACTACTAACATGGTTGGAATGATTCCTTAGTGAAAATTTGTCATGACTCTGTTGCATAGATTTGAAATTTAAAATCATTATGTTTAATAAAGGCACTACTTTTCAAGTTTTGCTTAGTAAGATAATCCAAGACATAGGCTTCTATCATAGTACAATGCGCATGTTTAACAGGCAGTTCATATCTGCCTTTGAAATGTCCTCAAACTCCAAAACACAAATTTTAGACTATGTCAATTCACTTTCAGATATCAAAACATATCAATTTGTGGGATAAATGAATTTGCATTTGTAAATAACTTAAATGTGACCTTTTTCTTTGGTTAACCTTGTCACTGCATTATGAGTATGATATTTATTTTCATTGTTGTAACCCTTGAATACCATATATTTCTTTCTTTCTGATTGCAGTTCAGTCAGACTTACTTCATAGGGTTGTACAGTGAAATTCATTGCAGTCTGCAGAGGTAGCAGAATCCTAAATTTGTAAAGCTATGCAAACCAAAAGCTTTTTATGGATAATTTAAGTTTTATATTCTGCACACTATACCAAAAAGATGTGTTGTGAAATATAATTTCTTCAGATCAAAAGACCCCTGATTCTAAGAGGTGGTTATTTTGAGATCCTGCTATCAATTTCCTCTTCACACACAGCAACTGGTGGCAACTAAAAATAATCAGCTCTGCCACCAGCTAAGAATCTGGTCACATTTGGCTCATGGACAATGTGCACAAATAAGATTTAGGATTCTTCCTTAGTTGCTTCCCTCCAGCCCACTCATCATCTAGTTTGCTGCCATTTGAAAGCTATTGAAAAGCCATTAACAGGCAGAACTGGGAGAGCCGCACTGCAGCACACCTCGGTGCCGGCAGAATGTGCTTGCATGTGAGCACCAATTAGAACTGACTATTCCCGGCATTGTGGCACTAGGAGCCCTGTCAATCACCGGCACTACAATAGCACGTGCAGCAGTGGTGGCTCCAGACCCACGGAGAGGCTTTATCTTAACTCCAGCTGCTGAATGAGAATGAGTTTCAAGCTTTGTGTATGACCATGAAACAGAACCTCAGTTCAATAATGCATCCTGAGGTAAACTGTTACCTGAGTAAGGGCTCTAAATAATGCATTTCCTGGGATCGACAGTTGTAACAGAAGAGAATGCTGGAACCTGTAGCAAGATTTCTCTCTGAGATGGAAAGATGTCTCACTATCATTTTATCAAGTGCTGTAAGTAAGCTTGATATTTTGCTCATACGGTTGTTTTCTTGAAATTTTATGCAGATGCCAAAATTAAGGCAGGTCTTCTGGTATGCCGCATGCAGGTGAATGACATAGAGCAGTGACTTTGGAAGATGTTTTACATGCTAAGTGTGTTTCCTCTTAATTTCAGGTTCTGAAATAATGCCAGTGTAAGCCAAACGTCAATAGTATTGAAATCTTTAAAACTTTAGCTCTTAAAGAAAAAGATGCATACATTGCTTTTTTTTTTAAAAAGCCATCCATAAAAAGGAATTTTATAAGAATATTCCTGGGTATCAGCATATATTAATGAAGTATTTGCATAAAAAGTTAGTTTATTTATGCATAGCTGAGGCCATTCAATTATTATTTTAATAATAATTTTACTCTCAAGTTTTACTGCTTATGCCTACATCTAATGCTCAAGTTGTAAGCTTGATCTTTAGGATTATCCTTGACTATAAACTTTCGTCCTTGCATCATTCACCTTGCAGTGCTCAGGGTCTTAGATGACATGTGTACTGTACCAAATGTTCTCCACTGATGCTAGAGTATGGTGAAAAATAGTTTGTTACTGGCTTTTTCAATGGTCCATCAAGGGTTTCTTCAATGCCTGAATTTTAACAGGATTTTGTGAGCTAGATAAAAGCAGCATCTAAGCCTTCTGTGGATAGTAATAATAAAGAGGGAGACATATTTCCAGCAAAAATGGCTTGCTAGATATACATTTTTCTCCAGTAGCACTTCTGAAAACTTCTGTACATTTATGTCATTGTCTTAAAGTTATACATGGCATTTATAGGAAATGGTTTCCTCTTAGGGTGAGGGTTTTGTTAGCAAAGGACATTACAATGTTACATTTAAGTAACAATGTTAAGGGAACACATGTTTTGAAAGGATCTTTTACTAAAGGAGACTGAAAAAATAATAATTGAGGACAAAAATATTTATCTTCCTCTTTTGTGGGGAATGTATATAGGAATTAAAACTCTGATTAATGAAAATAAAATTATTTACTCTTCAGCATACCCCAAAGAGGCATGATTTTGGCTTGCAGAGCAATTTTAACTTAAAAAGAATTCACTGATCAGCTTGTAAGTTTGAAAAATAGCTCTTTAGTTAATAAAAATTGGTCACATGCAGCATATTTAGGAATTATGAGAATAATCTTGTGTTTTAACCCCTGAAATCTTGTAGTTTTTATCTTGGTAAAATATGCATAGGACAGCATTCTCGCCTGGTTTTGTATTGCCCCTCATGTTTTACTGCACAAGCAGAATGTCATTATTTCTCCCTTCTGTGCCTCTGCAGAGGAAATTCCTGAAACCCTCTGCACCATTTCTACAGGGAACCTGAACTCATCAGGCAGAATGAACACATCTGGTAGAAGGCAGCCATGGAACATGGGCAAGAGCACAAGGACAAAGTGACTTGAACTTGGGAGAGTCAGGGCACATTTGGTTATCAAATGTAACACAAGGCTGCCCCTTTCTTACTTAAATTATTTTTGCTTCAGCTGAATTATTTGAATTTAGAATTTCAGAAAATTAAAGGAAGTGATGATGTGTGGTTAATGGAAACATTTGAGATAATGCTTGCAGTCCAGGTGAAATCTAAAATTAATGAGTAATGAAATATTCCAAATATCTGTAAAAAATATTCCTCATGAATTTATCAAATTAGTTAACAACTACTTGCTGAAAAAATGTTCTAAGCTCTGTGTTTGACAATATGTATAAAATATAAAAGAAGCATTAATATTGTTGGATGCAAACTTATCTGGTGGAATGGTACAATGTGCTAAAGGAGTTCAGAAATTAATTGCATTGTGAGTCACTAGTCAAGGAACATTTCATAGTCTTGAGCTGGATATTGAAGAATGAATAGACTATAGAAAGCAAAGTGAGGGCATTTAAAGAATCAGGTAGATTTATTGTTAAGGATCATAATCCACAGTTTAATCATAGTTCCCGATGCATAAGATGTTCCCATAGTGTGTTCCCTTGGCCCTTATATTGTATTATTCTATTGGCAAGGTTAACAGCCTACATTTGCATCCAGTCCTTACTCACATGTGCTTACTATCTTCCACGTGCCTGTCTTTTCATTTTGACCCTGGTTTATCACCGTACCACTTCCACTTCCAAGGCTGGCAGCAATGCAGGAAGTAGTCAGATTCCAGAGCAGGAGCACAAGCTGGAAATGTGCAATGACAGAATCCTAGTAAGGGCGCTGTGTGGCAGAATGTTGGGAGGCCAATAAAGAATGTTTACAAGGAACTTTTAGTCATCTAAAGAAGTACTCATTAGTTACTTTTAAAGTATGTATATACAGAAAGATCTAAACTCAAATTCCAACATTAGTTAACTCTAGCTTATGGAATATCAATTATTATAATGATATATAACACAATTATATTAATTATAATTAATTATACATGGAAATAGTATTCATATATTAATCAATTATGATTAAATACTTAATGTAATTATGTATATAATTAATTATAATTATGAAATTATAAGTTACTTTTATAAACTGTCCTGTATTTTCAAAATTGTCTACAAGGGGCAGGTTTCACTTTTATAATCAGAAAAACAAAACTTTAAGGAAGTGTAAGAGAATATGCAGAGAAAGAAATGGCTTAGATTTGTATTACCATCCATATTCCTTTCTGACTCTTTGGAAGCTGGCCTATTTCTGAATGTTTCATATATCTTGTACAAACATGTTAAAAACTAGAGTATTAAAATTTATTGTGGAATCAAAATGTACCAGGACAGTTTAGGAACACTGCTACAAAAAAAATGCTGATGTATCTTGTATCTCTGGCCAAGAAGTATCTGCAGATGGATCTGTAGTGATATTGTATCCTTGAATTGTGCCTGGAGAGGGTGACATGAGGATTTGGCCAGAGGCCTCAGGTGAGGTACAAGAGGGAAAAGAGAAATAGAACTTGAGGGAGTAATGGGCTCATAGAGTTTTAGTGCCATGTAAAAACTTGGACTTATGTTTCTGGTTTACTCTGAGCAAACTGGAGTAGAAACTTGAGGGATGCCCTGTTAAATTCCCTTTTGTGTGTTGGGAACCAGAGTTACCACAACTATACTAGGCCTTTGTCTCTCCTTGTTTATTTTTCTCTGATTATCTGGAGTTGGGACAGCCCGGTTAGGAGTAGGAAGAAGGTTAAAGCTATTTAAAGTGAGTATGTTCTAGAACTGCTAATTCTTTCACAGCCAACTAAGGATGAATTGTACCAGAAAGGCCACTATTTTGCATATAAACAAATTTTGCAATACCAAGGTCACCCTATTTTTTCGTTATCACTCATGCTCATAAATGCTACTCACACTAAAATGTCCTCAATGATCTTTCACAGATTGTACATGCTGTCGACTTGTTTAAAACCTCCACTACAGCAAGTCCACAAGCTCAGTGAAACACTAACATGTTGGTTTCATGATTGCTTCACCCTCCTTTTGCCCATTCTTTGCCCAAACCAGATGCATGGTCCACCACTGAAGCCATTGCACTCCTTTGTTCTCATCTTGCTCTGTTGCACTCAAGGGACAAATGTCTAACTCAGGTTGAATCGAACTTTACAACTTGTATGTCTTCATACCAAAGCAGTGGAATGATTATTAAAGGGGTTCAGAGCAAAAGAAAACTTATTTCACTTTTTTTAAATAAATCTTTTTTCAAAGACTTTGTTTATTTATTTTTAGAAAGAAGGGAAGGGAAGGAGAAAGAGTAGAAGAGAAACATCAGTGTGTGGTTGCCTCTCATGTTTTCTCCGACCCCCACTGGGGACCTGGCCTGCAACCCAGGCAAGTGCCCTGAGTGGGAATTGAACCGGCAACCCTTTGGTTTGTAGGCTGGCACTCAATCCACTGAGCCACACCAGCCAGGGCTAATTTCACGTTAATTTTAGGTAGGCAACACTCTCTCTCACTCTTCATATTTGAGAAGAAGATTGATCTTTCATGCCTAGAGACCCCTAAGCCTCCCAGTCTGGGAAAATAGAAATCATCAGATAATAACTCCTGTACCTTCCCATCATTAAATCTACAAAGTTACTGACATATGAACTCTTCTGCCCACTTCCATTGTGTTATCACGAACTGTTCCTTGTATCCAAAGCAAATGTGTTCTGGACTCTATCCCCCATTGCCTCACACCTTCAGTTTTCCCTTTTTATACTGCACCATCAATCTCTTCTCTACTGCATCATTTCCATCAGCATAAATACAGGGCCTAATATAAACATCCTCACATAATCAGTCTTCGTTGATCTCCCACTCCTGTCTGGCCATTACCCCATTTCCTTGTTTTCATGATCTCACCTTGGGAAAATTGCCTAGATGTACAAATGATCTCTGACCCTCATTTCTTTTTTGCTCTTCAAAATGCTGCTCCATTCACCATTCCACTGAATCCACTTAAGTATAAACCACCTTTATGTGGCAAAATCCAATGGACATGAAGCCTTCCTCACGTTAATTTCCCACTTGGCTAGTACCTTCTCTTCTACAGTTCTTGGAATTTTTCTCCTATTTTGCTGGCAACTTGTTCTATGCCTCATTGTCAGCTATCTGTCTTTCTTAGAGCATGGCTCTGATACTTCGCAAAATTCCTGGTTGCTTTCATTCATTTCTATGGCTTTTAACATCATCTGTATTTCCCCTAATATGTACCTCCAACTCACGCTTCCCTCTCTCTGCTGTAACAACATGGGCATCTTTTTCTGGCCAATAAAGATATATCAAATTATTCTTTTTGTGATAGCTAAATAATATTCCATATTTTTGTTAAGTCATTTATTTATAAGCTCTTTCCTTTTTGATAGGCTTTAAAACATTGTATTTGGCTTATTTTACTGGAGTATTGATTCACAAAAGCAGTATTGCTGAATCAAATGGTAAGTGTAGTTTTAAGCATTGTGGCAACTGCCAGATTTTTTTTCCAATAAGCTATAGCACTTCAGATTC